TATGTTCTGAATGCAGATGGTGCGAGATGAAGATATGGAAGTATTTTCATTTGCTGTCATCAAAAGGTTGGCATGCAGTCTGTGCAGTTTTGTAGGTCGGCATCATGTGAGTTCAGTTTATAAGTTGGCTGTGTCTGCAAGAGTGTGCAATCAACAGAGGGAGAGAGAAAGGGAGAGCAGCAGGGTTGAGTCATTGAGTCATATGGCATTCTTGCCTGTTTTCAGGCTGTTGTCAGGAAGCAGCGTAGTTCCCAGTAAAATAAAACAAACACTAAAAAAGAAAAAGAAAGCTCTGCTCCCTCCCACCTCCACCCGCCTAAGAACACACAAAGAGAGGGAATTAGAGAGAGAGGGGAGGGAATAGAGCCTAGTTGAGCATGAAGATGGAGATGAAGATGGTGGTGGAAACAGAAAAACTTGTGTAGTGCAGTTTACGCACCCTTTAACCAGTTTGGTCAATTTACACAATTTCCATAGTTTGATCTCAGCAAGTGTTACACTAAACGAGATTTTGGTTCATAAATGATGAAATAAATCAAATTGATGTTTGAAATTACAAAAGTCCTTAAGTAACTTATATTGATGCGTTTGAAATATAGTTGTCATAGAAATGCAGAGCTCCTCTTTTTTTAATTGTCACTCGTCAATCACTTTGACATTTACAGACAGAAGTAATTAACTGTTGAATTCAATTTACATCACAAATCTGTCAAAAAACTGCAGCTAATAAGCCAGATATTACTCCGTGCACATAAACATTGTTGGATTCAAAAACTCCCAACTGGATTTATTTGTCATATCTGTTTGATCTCCTGGTAATGCCGATATGCATTCAATCTCATTGTCATTTGTCAAAGAAGCCAATTGTAGCATTATTAACAGTGGCAACGTGATATTTAAAATGTGCCAATCTCACCCCAGCTCAATGCAGAATCCATATTAAAATGTCATTCCTTTATTTGATTGCGTTTATTTTTGACAGTGAATATTATTATCATCCACCAGTCGCTTTGATTAAAAACAAATAAGAATGGATATATATATATATATATATATATATATATATATATATATATATACGGGCTTCACTGAAAACTCACAGTGAAGCCCATCAAATACAACACAAACACATAACATATTACTATTATAGACTTATATTTAATAAAATAAATAAGCACCAATTTTTATAGAATGAAAAATATACCTGTAGATGGTCTAATGACCCTATCATCCCATTGACAAAGTCGTTGGGGCTAAATCCCGTGTTGCCACGGCACCATGGTAAACAGCCAGTGGCCTGTGATTTCCTGAGAGTCATTAGCATGGAATAGGTTTGCAAACCGATGCAACCTTGCGACCCGGCTCCATAACTCATGTCACGCGCTGATGATGTCATTCATCAATGGGGTCCACCAGCGGCTCAGGCAACGGGCTGCAGGTACGCTGAGCAGAGTGGAAGGGGAAGAGTGGGAAAAGTGGTCGGGATAATGACCAGGCTGTGGGGGAGGGGGGGGTTGACGATGGCAATAAATAGGTGTCAAGAGAGTCTGAATCTGATATATGGCAAGGAGGACGTAGAATGAGTAGCGTCGTGGTGGGTGAAAGGTGCGGTGCGAAGGAGGCGTGGCCCAGCAGTATATGTGGTTGTTGTGTACGGCGAAATGCCAAGCTGGGGCTGAGAGGGAGTTTAAGGACCGTACACAGCAGATGATGGAGTCACCTCAGCTCGTAATGTTCAGCAACCGCAGGGGCCATTATATCCGGCACTACCAGAGAGCACAAAACACATCCCACGCTGTAATTTAGACATTTCACACAGACACACACAGGCACACAAACACAGCTCAATTCGCAATGACTGGCAGAATGTGCTACACCTGCATTTTGCGCCCATGTTTATGTATTTGTGTTGATTTCTGGCACTGCTTTTTCACGTCAGGTTGTAGGATGAAATGTGTGAATCTAGACTGTGCGCCATTAACAGACATTAGCTTAATCAACAGAGATCATTTTTTCGATCTGGCACTGCCAGTTGAAGCTGCTCATTTCTGGCTCTAATTATTTATAGACCGGCTGTTTTACGTTTTGCGGTCACTCCTCTTTTAAGGATATTGGCCTTGGTGTTTGTAACTGAACATATTGAGCGGATCCACAGCAAGTGGGGGAGATTATCAATACCATCTTTGATCTCGCTCCATGTTTGTATTTCATCCATTAAATAACCATGTCATACTGTCTCCTGAGGGTAGGAAAGGACAGATCTCCAGGAAGAAACACTTAAACAGATTTAGTTCTCTGACTGTTTAATATTTATTCACCCTTTCATCTCACGTTTACTCTTCTCATAGAGGATTTTTTTTGTACTCATTCAGTGATTTACTAATCTATATTTTTTTACTGAGGCAGTTAACCCTAAGAGGTTACTCGGAGGTCTAAATAGCCATTCTCCAATTTCACGGCTGCTGCAGCCCTGTGACCACTGGGCCCACCGTGTCGGCCTCCTTCTCACGTTCGTGTGTTTGTGTCGTCATTGCGGCCACATCATTTTCCCTATATGATATTTCAGAGGTCCACGCTTTCAGGAAAAGCTGCCCCAAGTGTGGGTGGCCCGCAGTCACAGCCATAAAAGGATTTGTCAAAGAAAAAGGGGGGGGGTGGGTTGTCAGAAAAAAGGCGAGTTGAGGAAAGGTTGCATGCATGTTTGCTTATGTGCGAGTCTTGGGTTGCAGGGGAGCGATCCAGTCCGACACAGGGAGGGAGAGGGGAACGAGCGAGGGCTTGCTGAGATATGACGTGAAAGAAATAGGATTGTTTTTTTGGGGGTTTTTTGGTCTCGTGTCTATGTGGTCGAAGTAAATGTCCTTACTGAGGGGTTTTGTGTGCGAGGGGAAGGGGGGGCTTTAACGTCCCCACTCTCCTTGATGAGACATCTTTCTTGTTTGTTCAAACCATTCATTACGGGGTGCACGCTGGACGGGCCACGCCGCTGGCCGGCGTATTTATCACCGGGCTAAAGCGCGTTCTGGCTGACAGTAGACGATTGATGACCAGGTCCCGGGCTTAAGAAGCTGAGGAAGCCTTAATACAATGTAAATGACCCACTCCCATTTCCAATCTAGGCCGCTCCTCTCCCCACACCACATCATCTTTAGCTGCGTCTCAATTTGTGTGCATGTTTGTGTTGAGTGCGTGTACATAAAAAAAAAAGTGTGAGGGAGTGTGTGTCCGGTCATATTCGCGAGCATATTTTGATCGCGACCGGTGTCACGGCTAATTTGAAAACCTCTGGGTAACCAAGGAGTGTGAAGGGGAAGGAAAGAGAAGAACACACACACACACTCGCACAAACACAAGGATGTAGGTATGTCTGTTGCATTCTACTTACTTCATTTACACACACACACACACACACACACACACACACAGTTACCAAAACAGACATTGCTCTGTCTTCCTTAGCCAAGGATATGTCAGCACCTGGCAATCAAAAAATGTATTCCTAAGCATTATCATCTCTCCTTTGTTAATAATTTTATCATATTAAAAAGGACTACGTACACAAGTACAAATCAGAGTAATCCCCCTATGCAGCGGGGACTCATTATTTGACCAATCTCAGCTTTGTTTGTTATTAATTGAGCACATTCCTCAAACCATTTTTTCATCTCTCCTTTAATTAAAACAGACTGTGTTTCGACAAGCAGCACAGCCTGAATGGAGAAATCGTCCTCTCTGCTGAATGAAATGAAACCTCACTTACATCAATTATTCCTGCAGTAAATGAGAAAACTGTTCTTGAGCAACTGGTATCGTTTCAAGTTAAAATTAAATTAAATTAACATCAGGCAGGCAAACATTACCAGCTTCAAATTTGCTTTCTGAGTGAGTGGAGCCGGATACCAAAGATATTTTTCTTGCAGAGGATAAAGTCAGTTAACGGAGCTTCAAACACCCCAAAAAGAGGAAGATTTAAGTGTCACTTTTGAAAAGGAGCTTTTGTGTGTTATAATTTGCAGGTTTCATCTCCATGAATATTTTTTTTCTGTGCGTTTCATGTTTCCAGTGTGCTCGTGAACGTGTGACTCTTTGTGCATGCGTGCACCATGTCTACGGTGGCTGAATGAAACACATAGTGTCTCATTTGTTTCGTTTGCGTGCGCCCCGACTCCTAATCTGGCCCTTAAAGACATCTGTCACCAGCGATCACTGTTGTTTTGTCATGCTTCATAGCAAGCCCAGGGGGAGCAAGGCAGCCCAAGGTCTGCCATTTATATCAGGCCACGTTCTCTAGATTGGACCTGACACAAATAGTATCTTTGCAGCCCTTGTCCCGGAATTACATTTTCAGGTAAAAATCTTGGCGAGGCTGTGAAGGAGATTTCACAGCATTCGGTTTCTTCCAGCATCCGTCTGTATTCCGCAGCTCTCTGTTGAAAGAGCCACCGCCGGGATACATGTCCGACATTCAAGGAGAGATAAATGTATTCACTGCAAATCTGCACCCACTCATTCTGTTTCTTGGTATTATGGAAGGATTCTCAGGCAACAGAGAATCTGCACTACAGGCCGGGTTTAAAGTCTCGTTTGTCAGCATGTGCACCTTTGCATATTTGCATATAGTGTATATGTTCAGTTTGTACACTCGTTGTTGTTTTTGTGTGGGTTGGGTGGGGATACGAAAGGGTGTTATCACAGTTGACTGTTTTGACAAACTTGTCCGACAGGTTTAAGACCAACTCTGCTCCCTATGTCTATGTGTGCGTGTGGAGATGTATACGAACATCCATACGTGTAGGGGTTGGGAGGGGTTGGGTAGAGGTCATGGAAAGGTGCAGCCTTGAGTTGCACAACACGACAAACTGGGGAACATAATGAATACACACAGTAAAAGGCAACAGTCTGTTCCCATCCAGCCCTTCTCTTTATGAATGCTGAATATTCATGTTAATCTGCACGTCAAAGAGGCTCATTTGTGTGTGTTTCTCTCTCCGCTCCTGCAGCACCCATATCCTTCCGAAGAGCAGAAGAAGCAGTTAGCCCTAAGACACAGGCCTCACCATCTTACAAGTAAACACTGGTGAGCCAAGTTTTTTTGCCTCGGCTATCCCCACCCCCAGCATCGCCCGCTTTCATTTTCAAAAAGCTTTGCGCCCCCCCTCTCCTTCAAAGTGTGAAACCATGTTTATGTGCGAGCACCCCCCGCCCCTCATCGCATACAGACGCACACGGAGGTGAACGCGTCGGTATACACACAGGCTACCTTTTCATAACGTTATTTTACTTTACTGTAAGTTACTGTAAGCTACCGGGATGTTCCGGCGTTATCGGCGAAGTGTTTTTACCGCGGTTAAGTCTGTGGTCTCTGTGGTTTGATGCGCATTAATTCAGTAGGATGTATTTAAGGAGAAAGGCAGGGATCATAAGCTACCCCTACGGCCCCCACACCCATCCCACCCCTTCATCCAAAAAAAAACATACCTAGAACTGCCACTGGTGCCCCCACAAAAAGGCAAAACTGCCTCCCACCCCCTCCCTATTTTACACAAGCTATATGGTGGATTAAGGTTTTGGTGGCCTGGCCAGCAGGGCCTTTGTAGATGGCTTAGCACATAACTGGGGGTGGTGGATTAAATAAAATGATCACAGAAGCAAAGAAATGATACAGGAATTACTTATCAAAATACTAGCCCAGGTTTTATCTGAAGCTTAATTTTGTTCAGTACATTCTCAGGGTGATGTTCAGATTAATTGAACTGACAGCTTCCTTTCAAATTTCCAGGAAGGTATTTGCACGGATTTCAGGTCTTACACAAACTTAATTATATGGAACCCCATTTTATCATTCTAATTCCATGTAGCGGGGGTTCTATTTACAAATGACAAGTCTGTGCCTTTTATTCACAGCTTTCCTTAATATATTTATCAAAGCAGGTTCATTTACAAAGTGCTCTATCTGTTGGGTACAGGCAGACCGACATTAACGAAGCTTTTAGGTTTATCAGACTCGCAGCCCGACAAGCCACCCGAGGGTCAATTGATTTTTTGGTTCTGTGATACATTTTTTCTCATTTTTCCAGGATCACAATGAGAAACATGCCTAGAGAATTAGCCTGGTTTGTCGGCCTTATCTATCAGCCCCCTCCCTCGCCCTCCCCCCTCTATCCTGACATACTCTCTCTCTCTCTCTCTCTCTCTCTCTCACCCTTTTCTTTATTCCCTTCTAGCCAAGGGAAGTCAAGCTACTTAAATTGGCCACAGGAACCGCTGTTATCAGACTTTAATGCACCCTACAGTGTGGATAGCATTTCAATTACACCAGTAACCAAAGATTAGCCCCCGCTTGCCTGTTTCATGCCTCGTGCCACCGTTTCGGGACGCCACGCACCTTACCTACAGGAGCAGAAAATTGAGTTGCCTTGCCTGTGTCATGGTGATTAATGCAGAAATAGTCTGCAGACCTGCGAGGAGAGAGAGGGAGAGCGAGAGAGAGAGGACAGAGACATCGACAGAGATAGATATTGGAGTCCCTGCCTTCTCAGAGGCCATGAAATCCAAGCCTGGCACGGAAATGCCTCAGATCCATTTATAAAGAGGTCTGAAAGAATCTCGTGCTGGGAAACATCCCCATGAACCCTGTTTCCATACGCGCATACACATAGGTGGTCACGGAGCTGCGTGTTAATGTCACACCAGCCGTGTTAACAAAAACACACCGGGATTCAATTTTCACAAATAAAGTCATTAGAGAGGCTCAGACTCTGCTGGTCTATCTGTGGTTCATTCTGGTTGTTGACAACTCCGCCTGGCGGATGCTGTCACATCAATGTCTATTTTATGGTGACGGGAAAGATGAGAGGAAGAGGATCCTTTCTTTCCTCTCAACGTGCACAACCAAGCAGGACAGGGAGTTACAGTTAAATGATGCTTTGTTTGAGTTGTGCCCTGTTTTTTTCCTCTTTGGTTGGCGGCTGAGATGGTCCACCCAGGCTATGACATCCTCTACCGTATGAAATTCCTGTTTTTTTTTGTTGTTTTTTTAAAAAAAGCTCTTCGAATTCCTGGTTGGCCCCCTTGCATTGTTCTTTAGTTCCCTTTGATGCATGGCCGCTGCCACATTACTGACCAAAGAGAGAGAGAGAGATAGAGACGGAGGGAGAGGGAGACAGAGAGAAAGAGAGAGAGGGAAGCAGAGGATGAGTGGGGGGAAAGGAAAGGGAGGGGATGGCCGTCGTCTTCGGTTTCCAGAGCTCTCCCCCGGGGAAAGGATGTGCTGAATCAGGGCTTTGTCCGCACGCACAATCGTAGCCCAGCGAGGCTACAAGGGTGCTCTGTGTATCAGTCAATAGGGAGTGCATCCCGCTCTCTCCCCACTTGCCCCATCAAAGCTCCCCGAACCACAACATCCAACTGGCACCTCCATATACGCGTTTACCTGCATCTCACCTGCACACACAGAAAACAAAACCCATAGTAAACCACCTGCAGCTGGTTTGAAACTTATTCTCCATCTCGTCGATGCCATTAGCCGGCGGCCTCACCTGTTTGCAGCCCTTCACCCCATTAGTTGTCGGATGTTAATAACAAAGCAAAAGGTGAAAGTCCAACACCTCAGTGCCCCGGGGGTGACCCCGACGAAAAGTGTATTCTATGGGGGGGGGTGCCCGGGCCATTTTTTCCACATTGTTTTAAAGGGGACACAGTGCTGTTTGAGTATTTTCAAGATTTTTTTTTGCAAACAGGGGGTCGGGACCCCTTTTGTTGCCCCTTGGGCATTTGGGGGTTTTGCCCGGCCCCCATTTGAAAAAAAGGGGGTCATGTAAACCAAACCCCCCCCCCCCCCCCCCCCCCCCCCCGATATGTAATTGCATTTGTTTAAGATTGTAGGAAAAGGTGAGGGACGTGTCACACATGGCATTCTGGGATAGCCAAGTAGGTGAAACGGCAGAATTGGGTGTCTATGCGCTGCAGAAGCGCTCACAGTTTACAATATCTAGGAGTATGTTTGCCTGCCTCAGCAGGCCCTGGTGTCCTGCTATCAGTCTGGGCTAAATGGGGCCTGACCGAATCCTTTCATGTCTCAGCGTCGGGCCCAACATGATGTGCCCTCACTCACTGCCATAAACGCACACACCAACAATCCTGTCATTATTTACCACTGCAGCAATGCACACACACACACACACATTCAAGCATACAGTACATGCTCGCAGGGTTATTACATTGGTCTGAGAGATGAGGCCGATGACAGATGACTAAGAGAAACAGCATAAATAGGGGAAGGAAATCGTCCCCTCATTATTCCCTCGTCTCACAGGCAGCTAGTTTCCAGAGGAAAGTCAGAGGATAGAGGATAGAGGATAGAGGCAGAGCAAGTCGGAGAGGGCATATGTCAGTTCTTGGCACCTCTGATGACTGACTGCTGTGCCAATGGAGCACTAATAACAATAAAGAGGGCACTAAGCCACACTCTATTTTTACTTCTCTACCTTCTCTCTACAGCCCAGGAGGGAATACACACGTAGAGACACATACACAACACACACACACACACGCGCACACACAGGGGAGAGGCTCTAATTAGCGGCAGAAAGGAATACAATGAGTGAGTTATTAAGACACAGGGGCGGATCGCAGCCAACCTTTGCCCCCTGTCGGAGCACAGGTCACATGATAAGAGAAGGATATCCGGCAGACGACGGCGCCAAGCAGCCTGTGCCCACGGAGCAGATGAAATAGACTCAGTCTTTCCACACTCAGGGCAGGGTGCACTGATTGTTTTTTTCCTTATATCCACGAAGGCTCACCAGAAAGACAAACATATTCATTCTACTCACTGCACATCTAATTCCGTTGCACCGAGACAACTGAATGGAAAAATAAGGACGTATCTCTGTGTCCAGTGAATGGCAGATTCAGACGGGTGTTTAGGTTAAATAAATAAGATAAAAGCTTGACAGGGAGTTCTGAAGGATTCTAAAGTAACTGGACTTGTATGCCTATCAACATGGAATCCTGATGTACTTCCAAGATTGCTGTGGATAATGGAGATAAAAAGAAGCTGTACCGCAGGTTCATTGGCAAACTGTTATAAACGTTTAATTTACATTTGTTTGTAGAATCTGAGAATAAGAAGGAGCAAAAACTAAAGCCAAATGTATTCCTCCTCTTGCTGCAGCATTTTCCATCCTCTATTCCCCAATCCACTTGACATTAAGAAACATTGGCTTTTATAATTTTTTATGATCCTCTGGTTTGGCGGGCAAGCGCCTAATGAAATGCAAAATAATAACTAATATTTTCCAAATGTAACATAAAGCTATGAGACTGACTCAGACGCCTCTTTTTCCCCCACATTCTTCATAAGTATTTAAGTCGTCTGAATCTCAGAGTCTTTTGAGGTCCCCTTCTCGATATCCCTGCCTATGTCTTACACGTCTGTCTCTTGGTCTCTGCCACACTGTTGGGCCAGTTGACTGAAGTTGCTGGTTATCTCTCTAACTTTGACCCAGATGCAAATGTCAGGCCTTTTTTTGGCCGCAACCAGGGACTCCCGGCAGTGGCCATCTTATGCCCCTGGCTTTCTAAATATACAGCTGGAGTGTGGAGAGGTTGTGACTGTGTTTGTGTGTGCATCACTCCAGTGTGTCTTTGTGCAGAGGCATGAGTGTATATATGGCTATGACTGCGAGAGAGAGAGAGAGAGAGAGAGAGAGAGCGAGCGAGACTGTCGGTGCGCTGCCAACACAGGCATCATGATCCCTCTCATTTAGGGACCGCTAATTGGCAGTTAATTAGCAGAATTGACTCTGTTGTCAGATCCCAAGTGCCAGCCCCCTTACCGACACCCCCTACCCGCTAAGTTCATTTGATCTGGCCCGCTTTCTTGATGCTGTAATAATAATCCCGTTTTATCTGTTTTGGAAGGAGGAACCCATTTGTAAAGCCATATTTTCATTATTGGCAGAGTAAAATACAACAGTTCACTGTTGAAGTAGGTCTCATTTGGTTTTTCATTTGGTTCCGCAGTCGTTAGGGTTCCAAATATCTGTCCGCGGTGCAATCTGGAC